ATTTTATTTTTTAAAAATATAAATAATAATAATCTTAGTTGGCATGAGTTGTAATAAAAAAAAATTTTAGGTGGACACATTTTTAATTTGTTTTTGCCACGTCATCAAAAAAATTATAAAAAATGCCACATAAGCGAGTTAACGGCCCAAATTAACAGAAGAACTAACGGAGTGCATTTCGTATAGTTGAGGGATCAAAAAAGTGCAAAATTTTGTTGAGGGATCAAAAATGTGCATTTTGTAAAGTTGAGGGACCAAATTTAGCATTTAACCTTACCCAAATCCCTTCCTTATGTCCTTGTCCCTCTAACAATAAGCATGTTTGTGATGTTTGTCACAAAGCTAAACAAACAAGATAACAATTTCCTGTTAGTAAAAATGTTTCTAATTGTATATTTGCCTTAATCCATTGTGATATTTGGGGTAGATATGCTACATCTTCTTTTACTAGTGCACATTATTTTTTACTATCGTAGATGATTTTTCTCGTTGCACATGGGTTTACCTTTTAAAACACAAGTTTGAAGCAGCTTTATATTTAGTGAATGTTTGTAACATGGTTGATATTCAATTTGAAACTCATGTTCAACAGATATGCAGTGATAATGGGAAGGAATTCACTAAGGGACTTGTGAAAGATTTTTGTCCAAAAAAAAAAAAAAAAGAATCCTGCAACAAACATAATATGTCAACACACCACAACGAAATAGGGTAGTTGAATGTAAGCATCGCCATTTGCTTGAGGTGGCACAAGCTTTATGTTTTCAAGCCAAACTACCTCTAAAATTTTGGGGTGAGTGGATACTTACAGCCACTTATTTGATTAATTAACCCCTACTCCAGTTCTTTTTGGACTTACTCCCTTGGAAAAGCTTTTTCAAAAGGCATTATGTTATGATCATTTAAGAGTTTTTGGATGTCTTTGTTATGCTCATAATCATTCTAAAGATTGTCCGAAATTTGATTCTAAAGCATCAAAATGTGTCTTCACTAGTTACCCTTTTGGAAAACGTGGTTATAGATTGTATAATCTTTAAACCAATCAAATTTTGATTTCTAGACATGTCATTTTTCATGAAGAGATTTTTCCATACAAGACACCCAAGGCACATGAACAAACCTTGGCATTATCTAATCCAATTGCTAGAGACTCATTATTTAAAGAACCATCCTTAATGGATAAAGTTGTTGAGAAAACAACAAAAGAATCTCAGTCCTGAAAAAATGTTGAAATGACATTGGGTGAGAGGCCTAAGCTTGTGGAAAACAATATGCAATCCACAACCCAGTTGGAGTCTACCACTAATTTTGCTGCCCAACCACCGCAATTTATAGGCCATAGTGTGAACGACATGCACCTAAATGCCTTGAGGATTTCATTTGCGATATGCCTCGATTAGTTGATCCTAGGCAGACTCCATTCGATTCGACAATTTAGGTATACTCTATCTTATATCTAACCATCTATCATATGAATCTTTCTCACCTAATCATATAGCCTTTCTTGTGACCATCACTTCCAACCATGAGCGTTGTTTATTTTTGCTGGCCATTAAGAATGAAAAGTGGAAAAAAGCAATGAAGAAAGAGATCATTGCCCTTGAGGAGAATTGCACTTGGACACTTGAGCCTTTACCTCTTGATAAACGAGCTATTGATTTGAAATGGGTCTACAAGATTAAGTTCAAACCATATGGTTCAATCGAACGCTATAAAGTAAGACTTGTGGCTAAAGGTTTTACACAAATTGAAGGCTTGGACTACCATGAAACATTCGCCCCTGTTGCAAAGTTGGTAATTGTAAGAGTAGTTTTGGCACTTGCTTCCAGGTGCTAAGAACTACATCAACTTGATGTGAACAATGCTTTTTTGCAAGTTGATTTGCAAGAGGATGTTTACATGAAAATTCCACAAGGATTTACCTGTTGGAATAGTAACATAATGTGTCGATTACGGAAGTCACTCTATGGACTAAAATAGGCCTTTCACAATTGGTTTGAGAAGTTCACCAACTATCTAAAGGTTGCATGTTTTGTTTAATCACTTGTTGATTATTCACTCTTTACCTCTACTCATAATCATAGCTTCATTGTAGTTTTAATATATGTGGACAACATCATTATCATTGTCAATGATACCACAAGAATTAATGTTCTGAAGAAGTATCTGCACACAAAGTTCTTCATAAAAGATCTTGGACCTTTGAAATACTTCCTTGGAATTGAGGTGGCATGTACCACTGGAGGAAATGTCTTAAGTCAAAGAAAATATGCCCTTGACATCCTCATTGAAATAGGGACTATTGTAGCTTGACCAAAGCCCTTTTCTTATGGAGCAGCATCACCAATTACACCCTGCCACAAGCCCCCCTTTTTTGAATCCTGCTCAATATTGAAGATTAGTGGGGCATCTCTTATATTTGACAATCACAAGACCAAACATTTGTTATTCTATGAGCATACTTACACAATTTAAGCAAAACCCGAGGCAAGAGCATCATGAAGTAGCCATGAGAGTATTATGATACATCGAGTCCTCACCTAGACAGGGTATTCTCTTACTCTCTACAAGTCCAATACACCTTACGGCTTATTATGATGCTAATTGGGCAGGATGCCCCATTACCAGA